TAGTGCATTTCAAAGTCGGCGTATTTTTTTTCTTAAAATTATTTTATCAGAAAAACGAGACGAATACAATAATCAAAGTTTCATTGACGAAAACCCAGAAATAAAGAATTTTGACTTTTGAATTTAAAAGACAAAACACGCACGAGTCTTTCAATGTTTGCCGAACGCTCGAAACTCTATCCCTCCTTGTCTTTTGTATCGCTGTCTCTCTCTACGTTCGGCAAACTACAAAGAATGTAATACCTATTCCGTAAATGTTACAATCAAGACCCGCAGAAGTAACATTTACGGAGAGAATACTGTACGTGTACTATACTTTGTAATGAGCCGAACGTAGAAAAGGATAGCAACATAAAAACTGTTACAATCGTATTCGTTTCGTTTTCCTGATTAAAATGACACCAAGCACAATATATTTACGACAATAATTACTTGTTGTCAAGTCGAATTCCAAGAAAAAAGGGGACACGTAGTCCGATATTGCATCGCATAAACAAGCACGTGTTGTTAACCGAGAACAACATTCGCGAATCGACAGGTTCGTTTAGGATCGTTTTGTTTCGGGGACCTTCGTGACCGTTAAGGCTACTCCGCGGAGGCGCGGGGTGGTCACACAGAAAAAGAAGCCGGTACGGCACGCGCCGGAGAAAGCAGTTGCTATTAGGCAATCGAAAAGTTAACAGCTTTGTAACACGTATAGTCGTCCGTCACTTTGACGAGGTTTCGACAAAAAACGCTTGTGTAGTAAACCACACAATTTTCGGCACTTACCCCAGCACCTTAATTGGGAACGGTTCTTCTTTTCGAAAAGTATCTAACATGCAAAAGAATATTCTTTCCATTTCCACGGAGTGGTTCCATTCTTTTCTTTTGTTTTTCCTATTCTGTTCTTTTCTGAAAAAAGAGAAGAAGATTATTTAATTAATACGCAATGGAAAATACCGTGATAAAGATTAAATGAAATAAGTGGAAGAATAAATAGAAATGTCGGAGATGTACTTACGATGTTATGTAAAATCGTTACGATGTTTTACGCAGAAATGATTTCTGTTTCGTGCCCCCACCCGGAAAATAAGCGACACGCGAAGAAATCATCCTCACCACCAGGAATAAAGGGAGGGAGCCTAAAAGAGAGGGAAAGACCCATCGACATATGATAAACATTCGGAACACTACGCATGAATGTGTAAAACTTTCCTATTATTGACTTTTTTTACGTATAACTTTCACCAACATATTTGTAACATTGTTCTGATTAAAATGGGACTAAACACGGTGTAATTTGAGTTATATTTACTGGTAATATCTTATTGCAATATACAGTACATAGGTACGTATAGCAATATATATAAAATAGAAATCAAAAACTAAGAATATTTCGTATCAAAACAATTCGAAACTTCTGTTACTACACCCTTGGACAAAAAGATAGCACATGTATGCTATCTTTAATTTCTTGGAAACTACTTAAAATTTTTTAATGTAATACATACCATTCTAATTGTTACATGGCAGAGAGAAGGAACTTCTTAGTAAATATGGTTGACCTTGAGCAAGCAGAAGAAATATACAAATAGTGCCAGCGAAATGATAGCACATTCACAGAATTTGTACATATATTTTCATAAAAAAGAAAGTTACATTGCAATTAATACAAAGTTAATAATGATATGATAATAGTAATAATCCGCCTTTATTTTCTATTCCTTCGAGTACGCGCTTTGGTAAATATTTGTATAACATTTTAATTGTATTTTGTGGCAAAATATCCCAATCTGTCTTAATAGCTTCTTTTAATTGTTTAATATTATCATACTGTTTTCCATTCTTATATACAGCACGTGCTAGTTCTCCCCAATAATTATCAATAATATTCAGGTCCAGGAAGCGTGCGGCCAACGGTAAAACCGATACGTTTTCTCTTTGAAAAAATTGTTCTTCGACTTTAATTCGGAGAATTGCAGCATTGCCATGTTAAAAAATAAATTTATTAGTGGTAATTCGTAGTGCGTGTTCAATAATTTCAATAAAAAATTGTATTCTAAAGGGTATAGCCGGATAAGGTGGTCAAATGTGCCCTTGAGTCGAATTTGAGACCCAACTTGTCAGTCGGTAGCATATCCCGAAAAAACATCTCACACCAAGTTTCAACCTCCTATCTCATCCGCGGGGGTAGTAAAAGGGAAAAAACGAAATTCCGGTTTTTGACCTTTTTTGCCAATTTAATTTCGTATAAAAATTCTGAAAAAATTCTAAAACATTGAGGTCTAGATAGCGCATATTTTAGAATTTTTTCAGATTTTTTTATCGCAAACTGTAGTCGTGAAAAATCAAAAACCGAAAGAAAATCCGAAAAAATGCGATTTTTTAGTGAAGATGTCGGAGCACTACTTTTATATTAATGTGGTAGTTAAGTATTAGTACAACTATTATTCTCTAATTTTTTCAGATTTTTCGGTGAGGTGCGCCGTAGTTAAAAAAATAAAAAACCGATTTTTTCGCGCGAAAAACAAACTTCTGCTTTGAATTTTTATGCCATTTTCCCATAAAAGATGCACTAAGTAATTTTAAGAGGATTCACGTTCACACAATTGATCTATGGATTACAACAATGCAATTAACTTAATTAATTAGTTTTATGGTACGTTGTTTATATACTTAAATGTTTGAAGGGTTTCCAACAACATCGGTGGCGCAGCGGTTATGGTGTCTGACTCGTAAACCGCTGCATACTCTTTTTGGTGCGGGTTCGATCGCACCTGAACTTATATTTTTTTTTCTTTAAATTGTTAATTTAATTAATTCTAATTATAGAACAATAGATATTACTTATTTAAAAACATTTCTAACGCACTTTAGAAATATTTCAA